TGCTATACTGGTCCCTAGCAGAAACCCTCAGAACGCTGCATGAAAGAGTACGTACTCAGATCTGCCTTTTAAAAAGTTTGTTCAGACCTGTGGTTCTGACGAGATGGTAGACTGAATGGATGGGGACCTTCTTCCCCACACGACCACAGAAAAATGAGGAAATACATGATTAGAACCATTTGAATATAAAACTGAGCATAATGAGAATAATGGGAAGATCACCAGTTACCTGAAATAAAGAGGAAACTAAGTCAAAGCCAGAATCTTTATCATGGAAGCTGGGGCTGGGATGATCAAACTCTGACACAGTTACAGGCTCTGGGATTTTCATGCCCACAGGAGGAAGAAGACCTGGCCAGGGAAATGGATCCGAGAGTCAGGAATCTAGGAAGGGCTGTTGGTCTTTTTTTAATCTTTTTTTTTTTTTAAATATTTTATTTATTTATTTGACAGACAGAGATCACAAGCAGGCAGAGAGGCAGGCAGAGAGAGAGAGAGAGAGGAGGAAGCAGGCTCCCTGCTAAGCAGAGAGCCCGATGCGGGGCTCGATCCCAGGACTCCGGGATCATGACCTGAGCTGAAGGCAGAGGCTTTAACCCACTGAGCCACCCAGGCGCCCTGGGCTGTTGGTCTTTAAACAGGGACAGGAAGACCTTTCTCACAGCCCAGAGAGTCTGTATGTGAAGCGGAGCAGAGGTCTCTCCTTCGCAGAAAGGAGATTCCAAGCCCACATGGCATGGGTGGGTGTAGAGGCTGAATCCATGCTACCCAGCTTCCGGGAATCCTAACTGAACTAGCCGGGCCTCTGGAACCCCTGGGGTCTCGGTGGAACTACCACTGAAGTGATGAACACACACCCCCACAACTCACAGCTCCCACGGTGAAAACAATCCCGACTTAAGATGGTCTCCTGATAAAAAAGAACAAACCAAGCGAGGAAGTGAGCCACCACGAAGGCAAGGCGACAGACACAACTCATGGAAGAGATAGTACCCTTAAAACCAGAGATAACTGGACACTTCAAAAGACACGACATGTGTCATCAAAATAAAGAGATGAAAGGGACAGAAATCATAATAAAAACTAGGGCACTAAAAAACTAAACTAAAACCCAAAATTAACAGGCTGATTTTAAAAAGCTCCAAACAGAACTTCTAAAACTTAAAAATAAAACCTAAGCTCTCACATTCGGAAAGAGTACTAAATAGCCGATTATGAACAGCTACAGGGTCAGTAAACTCACAGATGTTTTTGAGGAAGTGCTGGAATTCGTCACTGGCAGAAAGGGAGATGGAGGAAAAGAGCAGACCAAATAACATGGCAGGTTTCTAACAGGAGCTCTAGGAAAGACCAGAGAGAATCAAAGAGAGAGCAGAGAAGAATTTCCAAATGGAAGAATCACACCGAGCCCCCAGCAACATAATAAAAACTATTCTACCCTTTGACTGACTGCCGTAAAACTACAGAACGCCAAAATCAAAAATCAGGTCTCAAAAGCAACCAGAATGAAAAGTCATGCAAAGCTCCCTCTGGTGACAGAGAGGACAGGCTGGAGGTCAAAGAGCCTGAGGCAGGGAGAAGTGTGCCAAGTAGCTCCTGGTCCCCCGCACTGGGAGAAGGGTTGTGGGGACGGAGGCAAGGGAACATTCTGGACACAGTTCTCCATCCATGAAGGGTACAACTGTCCTCACAGTTGTTCTGAAGTCCAAAGCAGCTACTTTCCTCATCTGTGCTCCCATAGCCCTTGACTCCCCCCACTGTGGAGCGTGAGTCCCCCAGGGGAGCTGCGGTGAGGTCTGCTCTTTGCACAAACTCCTCAAGGCCCTGGAACAGGTGTAAGTCATCTCTTGTGCCCCCAGTGCCTAGCACAACACGTGGTATGGGGTGGGAGGCTACTGAACATGTGACTGACTTCTCATGAATCACATACTCGCTCTTGTGGCCTGTTCCTAGGCCCGTGAAGAGATCTCCAAACCCGAGTCTGAGAAACGACTCTCAGTCAGCCCCGGGTTCCCTGGATTGTAATATTAAAGGCAGTGAAGCTTTCTGCAGCAGAAAAATAGAAGGTCCGTGGTGGACACTGGTAGCACCTGTTGGCATGGTGGGGAGAGGCCTCACGTCTCTTAGGGGCACATGTGACCAACTTTTGAGGGGCTAAAGGGATAATCTGAGTGAAGAGCTTTACCAATCTAGCTCCATGCACAATAGGGCAGCTTCCTTCTTCTAATGACCTTGATTACGAATGTTGACCTGAGGACCGTGCCCTCTAGCCCAAGAAGAGGCAGGGTCCAAGTGCGGCTGGATATCAGATATGGACCAGTCCCAGGGCCTGTCTTCCCTGGAGCCCAGGGGCAAGCATGAGCCCCTTAATGCAGATGAAGAACAGGATGGCATGGGGCCAAATACCGGGGCCACCAGGATGTTTCCAGGGAAGGAAGCTGAGAAGAGCATCCAGGGAAAATAAAAGCAGAGTGCCTATTTCCAGGGCGACTCCAGTTGAAGGGAATGACCGCTGGGGACCACCATGCCAACAGTTTCAATACTTATTTACAACACCCTCTTCACGGATGAACTGAATTTGACAGAGCTAAATACTAAAATGACTATGAATTATAGTAAAAGCAGTAGTTTCAATAATGAATTGTACCAAACTAATCTTCAGATATCAAGCTAATTTCTTAGGCAAACCTTCTCGCTTTGCGGCTCTTGCATTCGTGTGACTTGCCTGAGGAAACACGAACTCCTCAGGGCCTGGGGTGAAACAGCCTCATTTCCCAAACACCCCTGTCACACCAATACTGGGATTCAGGCACTCTAGGGGAAATGACCCTAAAAGCGAAGAGAGGAAAACAGACAGGGCAGAGCCCAGGGGAGAGGAGAAAGTCACAGTCAAGCTCATGGGATTCTCCAGTCCTCCCTTGGCAATTCACACGCGGACAGAGGAGGCTGCCTTTAGACCGAGTGTATCGCCACCAGTGGACAACAGCTGAAGCCATGTCTACCAGCCTCTTCCCTACTCGTTCTCCCTTAGCTGCTGCCCCTGCTCACGGAGATAGGCTTGCGGCCACTGGGAAACAAAATGGAAGCCCTGACGTAATTCTTCTGTTTGGGCAGGAGAGGCACACTTACTGTGGGCACTTGACGTGCTAGGCTGTGATGATGTCCTTAACATATCATTTCCATCCCCAGGACCATCATTCCCCCAGTTTTGGCAGAAGGCATCCTTAGTCCCATTGTTCTTAACAGATGAAGAAACCCGAGGCTCAGAGGTTAGGACATCTGCCCACACACTGCTAATGAACCGCGAGACTGCCTCTAGGAGGACAAGCGAGACAGAGCCACAGCGAGGGGTCACCAAGACGTCCCACTCTCTGAATGAAGTGGCTGCCAAACTCTTTCTCGAGAAGCAGGGAGTCGGGCCAGAACTGGAGTGTGTCAGCACCCTGGGCTGAAAGACTGCTCCTGCTGCCATAATCCGTGTGCGCAGGGCTGCCATCCCCCTGCCATCTGGCGGGCACCAACGTGGGGAGCGCAGGGCGGCATGGATAAGCAGATTATGGCTGGCATTTCTCTGACTCCCTAGTGACACCTACACCTGCCCCCAGGAGACCTACTCGGTGGTCCCCAACCCTGGACCCGAGAAATCCAGCCCTGCTTCCCTGCCGAATTCAGCATTATGAGACGCCGAGATGGTATCTCAACACGACAGCCCAGAAACTCTGGAGCTTCCAGAAACAGCACCATCCAAGAAGAAAAATGATGGTGTTAAGGGCACTTGGTCAATCTTTCCTAAGTGATTAATCCGGTAGGAATGGAGGGTACACAACAGCTTACTACAGCATCCTCTAAAGATGAATGATAAATGGGAGTAACACCTTGAAACTAATATGGATGGAGATTTCGGTCACAAAGGCGCCCGGTAACCCATCCGCCCTGTCCCCCTCACCCCCCTGGGGAACCAGAGCAGGAGTTCTTCAGGAAGACCTAAGTTTCTCTTCTGGAATGTAAAGGACAGTTCCATTGGCATGTGCTTACTGGATTCCTTCCAGTGAGTACCATTAAATAGCTCACATATTTAAACAATCAGTCCGCAAGTCCAGGTTGGGACTGTTCCTGTCACTGACTGGGGTTTCCGAAATAGCAAGGCGGGACCACAGCTGTCGTTCGTCTATTCTCTTCCCCAGAGCAAATGGGATCATGGTGACTTCCTCACGCGGCTGTGGCCGGTGACCCAGAGCAAATTACGTCCGTTCCCTAGACTTCAGCTCCTGCACATACAGCAGTGGTAACAATGGAGGAAAGCTCTTCGGGGTGCTATGAGGGTCACACAGGATAAGAGATGTAATGTCCCCAGAGGTGTGCCTGATGCCCAGTGTGGGGGCTCACTGGTAGCTGCCATTGTTGCTCATCTCACCACTGTCATTGTCATCAGCAGGCACTCGCTGTGTCACAGACAAAACTACACAGTCAGGAAAGTAGTCTGTGATGAAGGAAAGAGCTCCTAGAACAGCCTGCCAGGTGCCCCCTTTCTAATAATAAGATTACTGACTTGAGTCTCTGCAGGGACCCAGAAATCCCCCGAGTATAAAGTTCACAAGGTAGACTAACACAACAAAACCTAGTCACAGAGGCGAGGTCAGACCCAAGGGCACAAGCCAAAGTCACTCAGTGAACCAAACTAGCAAGCGTGGCCTTGGAGACAGGTGGTGGCGGTGGGGTGGGGGGGTCCCCCAGGCTGACATCTGGAAAGGAAGGTTGCTTCTGAATAGATGTGTCATACCTCCCACACAAGTATTTCAAGTCCTATATTTAGGAGCCCAAGAGATTTGACAGGAGAAACAGTTCTGTGCCAGCTCTTTTCCAGGAGAGCCCCCCAAAGTGTGAGTCCCTTCCTGACAAGCCTTTGTCAGAGAAGCCCGCTGTGACAGAACCCACAGGAGCTGCCCCCTCTGTGGGACAGGGTGAGGGGATGCTCCTTTCTTCCCCACCCAGTGGCTTACTTGTTGCTGTCGCGGTACTCGTAGATGTGACATCCTTGAGGCAGTCCGGTCTCGTGATCCAGAGTGAAAGCAAGTTTCAGCTGCGGGAAGAGAGAAGAGAGAAATAATGAAGTCGAGGCAGCATGTGCTCTTCATTCTGGCTGCTGAAATGAGGAAAAAGTCACGACCTGAGCCGAAAATAAAAGTCGGACACCCAAACCAACTGTGCCACCCAGGCGCCCCTAATTAACTAGAATTTTAAATAAAAACTTGAAAAAAAAAAAAGAAGTAAAGATTTAAAAGTAGAGTCGACAGGATATGCTGAGGGATTCTATGTTAGGGAGTGGTGAGATGGGAAAAGAAGAAATCCAAGACAGTTCAAGTTCTTGATTTGGACAATCAGGTAGGTTCCATGGCTGCGTGTGAAGACTGAATCTAGAGGTGGCTAGAAAGCCGAAAGTTTGGTTTTGGATATGTTAGCTTTGAAGCACTCAGTAACTTTCTCTGATTAGGGGAGATAAGGAACCAGAATCTGGTAATGAGGTCTTGTTGCTTTCTGGATTCCAGAAGGGCGTGCTCAGGTGAGTGCAGAATTCAGGGAAATTGTGTGTGTCCTGCTAGAGCTGAGGTGGTGAGGGCAGCTTTAACACTTCTAAACCTAGAGCCAATTATTAGATTTACAGATTTACCAGGTTTTTAAATTGCCAGGGAAATTTTAACTAAAATTAACTGCACATTAGGATACATTATTCTAACTTTTTTTTTTTTTTTTTTTAACTGCAAGGCTGTTAACACAGATCTGCATCATTAGATGCTGGACGGGTTTTCTCTTCCTGAGAGGGAAAAGAGCTTGTAGGAATGGCTTGTCCTCTTACTGACCCAGATGAAAATACAAAAACAGAAACAAGCCCTTCTTCACCACCATGAAGCCAGGAACTTCAAGTCAAAGGCATGTTTTCCCTACAGAGCCCTGCTTGGACCTTCCCAGCCCTCTTTCAGCAAAACCAAAAATCATTGTTTTTTAGAAAAATCTATTAACTATACCATTTCTCTTGACCTCTCCCTTTGTGGCTGAGGCCAGGCCTATATTCACTGAGTCCACTTCAAAGACTGCTCCACTTAGAAATTTCCAAATCCTTTAGCTCAGGATTTATGAGCTTTATGCAATTTATGAATTTATGGCTTAGAAAAATTATCATAAATGTAAGAGCTAAAGTTTTTTCTGTGAAACTGTTCACTTCAGTATCATTTACTGGAAAGACTCGAAAAGCCCAGCAGTGCAGGTGGCCAGGTAAACTATGACACAATCCCACGCAGGGTAGCAGCCATTAAACTTTATGAAGGATTCTGATTGATCTGGGAGAATATCTGGGTTAGTTGGAAAAAAGCAGGATGCATATGTGATTATATACCAAGAAAATTATGTAAAACGGAACAGAAACCACCTAGAAGAAAGACTGGAGGGAACGATGGCAATAGTGTTCCTCTCCTTTCTTTGCATTTTCCAAATTCTTTAGGATAAATCTAAGGAGCTATGAGCCATAGTCCTTAGTCATGAAGGAATTAAGGGAAATTTCATTCTTGAGGTCAAGAAACTGTGTAAATATCAATTCAACATGTAGGTGAGTGGGGAGGTGCAGGGAGGGGACTGGACAGATGAGCACTCCTATGTACTGAACGGAGAACTCATATTTATTGAAAGCCTACCAAGTAAAGGCTCTCCTTTACCCTGACCACAACCATTTGAAGTAGGTATTATGATTTCCTTTTTACAGGGGAGGAACTTGAGGCTAAGAAAGGTTAAGTAATTTGTCCAAACCACAATTAGAATTTCAGCTAAAACCCACGCTCTTTGCACCTCACTGGAACTAGAGGACGCGGTGATGGTCTGGATAGGAAGCCTGCCGGGGAGGGGTCAAGGACGATGTTTAAGGTGCTCTCCCTCGGGCAGCAGGATGGATGGTGCTGCTACTCACCGTGACAAGGAGGAATAGCAGGTTTGGAAGGAGAGCTTGAGTTTAGTTTGGGAGTGCTGATTTTAAGGTGTCTGAGAGGCATTGTCATGCAGATGAACAGTAGGCAGCTTGTATAAACAATTCTGAATTTTTTAGGCAAGACTGTGATCTGGAGGTGCAAAATTTGGAAGCCTCTGGATGGTAAGTAAGATGGTAACTAAAGCCACTGGTGTGGACGAGAACACGCCCAAGAGAATATATAGAGGGAAAACGAGGTCTTTGCGAGTACAGCTGGGTTTTGGAGTAGTGCAATGGAGGTTAAGGAGGAGGGGCAAGGGAGTTTTGAGTTCTGTTGTTACAGGAGCCAAGAGGAGAACATATCTCAAGAAGGGAGCAGTCAGCGGCATTTAATCCTTCTAAGAGGTCAAGTAAGAGAGGAACTGGCATCCAAAACTAAAAAGAGTCCATTGGAGTTAGCAACAAGGACTCACAGGAGTGTGGGGGAAGCAGAGGGCAGGGCGCAATGGGTGAAAAATGAGTAGAAGGTAAGGAAGTGGGGATCGTGAGTGTATGTAGTTCTTTTAGCAAATTAGACGGTGGTGGGGGAAGAGTCAAGATGAATGGATTGGAACAGGACCGGACAGGAGGATGGGGCTTAAAGAAGAGCATGTGGTAGGACAACGGGCTGTTTAAATGTGGATATAAAAGAAGCACTACAGAGGGCAGGCTCGAAGACATGGGAGAGACGGAGGTAACCGAAGAGTCAAGGTGGCTGAGATGACCGGAGGAATGAGATGACGCCAATGCGGAAGTGGATGACCCTTCTTGCACCGTAGCAGTGGGGAGGGCTGGGCAGGGATGCAGATGTATCTGTGGATTTGGCGGAGGTGTGTGTGTGTGGGGGGAGAACAGGATGGGGGATGGTGGTGGTTTGGAATGTTCCAGTCTGATTTTTGTTCTTTTCTGAGAATTAGGAGGTCAAATAATCCACAAGGAATGGAGGGTTTGGTGAGGGAAGGAAAGGAGGTTGGAGGAAAGTGATGAAGGCTTGAAACTGTTTCTCTGGAGAGCAGGAAAAACTGTTGACCAGGGAAGAGCACGAGGGCTGCCAGGGAGCACTAACGGTCCAGCTGAGGCCACAGGAACTGAAGTTTCTATAGCAACCATCTGTCCAGATGTTTTTTTTTTTTTTGCTAGCAACTTAGACATTGGCATGAAGAAAGTTAGGTTGGTCCAAAGCTGAGCATTTGCCAGGAAGGTCTGAGGGAAGAATAACGGAGCAAGGGAGTAGAGATAGGATATTGGCAACAGATGGGCCAGAGACTCTAAGGGGGAACAGGCGAGAAATAAAAATGGAAGGGGCCGATTGGAAGAAAACAGAAAGATCTGGGTGACAGATGTCTTGTTTGGTATTATTTATTGAGCATGTTATGCTCCTGTGACATGGCAGTTCTAAGTACTTTTTGCCCAAATTAGCAAATCAGTTGCAGGGCTGAAGTGTGACCCACGTTGCTAACCACTGGACCACACCAGCCTCCTGAGTGTCCCTGATGTCAAGGACTGTGAACTGTGAGAGTCACTGAGTGAGGGAGTGGGGGGCACTGGAGGCTGTGGTCAGAGAGTAAGTTCTGTTTGACCTTGGAGATGGGGCAGTCAGTCCTCAAGATATGAGCAGAATGGAGAATTGGGAGGTCGGGATGAAAAGGTCTCCCATGAGAGGTCTGAAATCCACCCAGGATGATAACATGATGTTTCCCAGACAAGCTTATCCACAAAGTGTGTCACTATGGGCGTGCAGGGGTGTTGGTAGGTACCTACTTTGTGCAAGGTTCCACACACGAATGAAGGAGCGCAACTGGTCCATGCAGCAGACTGAGATGCCGAGCCCGCGGGCCTTTCCTCCTTCCCAATGACACCCTACACTTACTTAGCTAGTTACCCTCCCACACAGGCCATGGAATCCAGGGGGAAGCAGATCCAGTGTCCTGGACTGGGCCTGGCCATTCTAAGGTGACCTTGTACACCTCTCAGTAACTGATCAGGAACCCAAGCCAATCAGTGCCTGGCATCTCCTGGCCCCAGGAACTGGTTCAGGCAAGGCCAAGGGACCTAACAAAGCCCATGAGATATGAGGGGATGTTTGCTGAGTGCTTCTGGGCATGAGGGCCCAGAGCTGTTGAAGCTAGCTCGCTCTCAACCTGAGAAGGAAGCCCAATTCACAGAAGAAGCCGCCTTTAGAGACCCGCAGAACAGAGCTGGATGCTTGGGGGAGCCAGGTCTGGTCCTTGTCGGCCATCCAGACCTCCACTGTTCTTCTGTAACATCCTCTCTCAAGGACACAGACACATAACATGTCTACCCACTTCTTGGTGCCACTATCCACAATGCAACTGACTTAGCTTTCTAAAACACAAGCCTGATGACACCTCCTTCTTTAAATACCTCCGATGGCTTCCTGCTATTTGCCACAGGTACAAAAACAAGTCTAACAGCCAGGGCTCTCTGGGGGTTGGCTCCCCACACGAACAAAAATGGACTGTGACAGAGGGATGGCGAGGGGGGCATGCGCTGAGGAGAGGGTGCCAACCAGAGAGGACCTCAGGGTAGGTGACAGGAGTCTTAAGGGAGACACCTAAGCCTGCCTGACAGGGAAGGGTGCCCCCAAGCTCTCACTGTTCCTGCTGCAAAATCCCAAGCACTTGACCTTCACGGTGAAGCTCACTGTGTGAGCTTGGATCACGCCTTGTACTTTCATACCTCCGGCCCTTCCTTAGGCCGTGACTGCTTCTAGAAGGGCCCTTCCTGTCTACCCCAGCAAGACCCCACGCATTCTTTGAGCTTCTCTGTGTGAAAGTTGGTCTTTCACAACTCTCTCTTCTGGTAACTAGAGGCAGGGCCTCCCACCCCAGTGGTCCAAGGGCCCAGGGGGCGGGGGGGGGGTGACACCTTCACCGCAGAACACAGCACTGCCCACAATAGGTGCTCAGTGCACGTCGCTGAGCTGACCAGCCTAGTAGAGAACAGCTGCCCAGCCATCTCCTACATGCCAGAGGCGCCCCCTGCAGGTTTCTGCACCCCTCAGCACGCTCTGATCCTGGCTGGACAGATCTGTAGTCCCCCAGTCTCATCCCTGAGGTTGTCTGGCC